CCCCCGTCCCCCCCGCCGCCATCCCCGCCACCTCCGCCCCCCGGTCAGTCAGTGAGGAACGGTAAAACACATACACACACGCACACACACACACACACAGACACACACACACACCGTGTGCAGCACTCTTCGCCTCCTTGTGCAGCTCTCTCAGCCCCCAATCTGAACCAATCTGAACAAACACGCCAGCGGACCTGATTTGAATATGATGATGATGATGATGATGATGATGATGATGATGATGATGATGATGATGATGATGATGATGATGATGATGATGATGATGATGATGATGATGATGATGATGATGATGATGATGATGATGATGATGATCTTGACTTGCCAGCTGCTTTTATGGCGCTTGGAAGCCGCCCGGTGTATCTTGTTACATCTGCAGGACCTAGAGAACTGCCCCAGCGAAGCCCCTACCTGAGCCGAGTCCAGGTTCCGGTAGTGTGGCTAACCCGGAATGGTCATCAGTGTGCCTGTTGTTGGAGCCTGCTCCTAACCCACCACCGCGAGGGGCCCCCCCCGATCCCTCTGTCATACATTCCCGCCCTTCCCATCCTAGCCTACCTGCCTACCCTAAGTTTACCTACCGACCCTACCTACCTACGTACCTACGTACACCTCGCCAGTGCACTCACCTTACCTACCCGCCCTTCCGCCCCTTCCCGCGGGCCCCTACATCCCGTTCCCCTCCTGGCCACCTGATCTCACCTCCCCACCCTCTCCCCCCTCTCCCCGGGTGACACCGCGCTTGGCCCCAACACCACCACACAGTCAAGGAGTTCCAGGCGTACAAGCTCAAAAAGTACATCTATATTTACTCCACTAAAAAGTACAGCTTCAACGAGGCAGAGACCTTCTGTTATGCCAAGGGGTACACACCCGTGCCGTACGAGAAACGTGAGCATCAAGGTAAGGCATCCAGCCTGCTCGGCCTGCGTTGGGCGCCACCACCAGGCGAATATGCGCAGGAATGCGCGGGCAGGCTGATATGCTGATGTGCGTTCTTGCATTCTTAGGTTTTAGGTTTTTTTCAGGGTTTTAGTGCTTTCGCCAGAACCTTACCAGATTCGTGGCCAGCATGTACTGTGGAAGCCCTTTCCGAAGGCCGCGCGAAGGTCTATGCATCGAGGTGCGCCTGAAGTGCGTTAAAGCAACGCTAGGTCCTCTTAATAAACAGCGGAGAGAATTAAGATGGGGCTTCGAAGGGGAAACACGAATAACAAAGATATCCACGTGCTGAATTCCTTTAATGTGCGCACATGAATGCATGTATGTGTGCGTGTACGTGTGTGTTTTACTCCCTCCCTCCCCAGAAGCGGTAAACGCGATCTGCTACGAGAGCGGTCGCGGCTGCTGGGTCGGTGGCCAGCAAGGCAACTACTGCGCCTACGTCGATCCAGACGGAAACGGCAGTGCCTACGCGCGCTACTGCGACGAAAAGCAGTACGTGCTGTGTTACGGTAAAATACCGTGATGATGGTGATGACCAGGGTGTGTCGCTAGTCGGTGTGTGTGCGTGTTTTAGTTATCAACCTGCATGCACGGATGTTAGGGACATAAGAACTACTACCGGAATGCGGATTGGGTTGCTCCGATCCCTAACATCCTAAAACCCTAAACGTTATGAAACCCTAAAACCCTAAAACCTTATGCGAAACGCTGATGTGCGTGATTTGAACGGAGTCTTATCTATCGTTTGCATTTAGGTTTAATGGTTTGCTTCCGCTGATTCAGCAATCTCAGTGGGGCGGTTGCAGGATGCAAGGGCCGAGCGGCGCTGAGATGGGATGTGGGGCTTTTGTTCCGGTTGGTTGGGTGGTTGGTAAAGCCACGCGAGAACGTTACCTTTGCTGTGAAGTGGTCCTGGCGATGTTCAATCCTAGCTGCTGCTGTTGAGGTAGGGCAGCAGGCGTATTAGGCAGTATGCAGAATGGGAGTGCGCATGCAGCAGCCGAATTCTGATGGCGAGCTTTTTTTTTGCGTTGCGGGCCTAACAGCGTCACAGCCCTTGTTTGACGACCGGCAATGAATAAATGAATGAATGCAGGGGTTGCCCTCATATATTAAGGGTTCAACGGTGCAATGGGTATGTATTGTATGTATGTATTGTATGTATGTATTGTATGTATGTATGTATGCAGAGGCCCTGGCTTCGGCCGGCGCCCGCTTACTACTTTCATGTTTTGTGATTAGCACATCCTTAACTAAAGGGTTTGTGATCCACGCAAGACAAAAATATGAATGCATGTGCTAGAAACAGATTAAAATGGACCAGCCGGCGGTGGACAGTGAGGTGACGCGCTGTGTATCAACTCCGTGGCTATACGCAGCCCACCTTACCTAGACCAAACGTTTGAATAATATTGGTGGGCGCTGTGTGTGCGGTGCGGTGCGGTGCACTCCCATCCATTGAAGTTTTGCATCCGGATTCTGCGCACGCTTTGTGTTGATGATGAAGATGACAGGGTGAGGTGATGATGATGATGACGACGATGATGATGACGATGTGTGTGGCTAGGCTGTGTGACCTGGTGGTGGCCTGATTAGGCTCCGCGGGTTTTGGCACGCTGCTAAGTTTGACAGCCGCCTGTTGCCATCTGGCAAAGCTACATTGCCGGGAGGGGCTCGCATAAGGCCACCTATAATTCAGGTGCCTGCTCCCCCCCGGGGCTCCTGTCGGTCGCTGACCGGGACAATCCGAGCAACCGAAGACTGGCCCCACGGCTTACTTTCAGGGCTTCTCAAGATACATACTTACACTTCCATTATAACATCGGCAAAACGCAGAGACAATGTAAAAGGATAAACACGCCATATACGTGTATTACTGGCACAGGGTGATCGATCCGGCACGTTAAATGGGTCACCAACGTTACCAACGACTTGCAAACAGGCGCATCCTGCAGGCACCCGAGCAGTGGCCATGCAGTGTCACTGCGACCATGTATGATGGATGATTGCCAACGAAATTGAATTGACAGCTGCGGACACCAGGTTTGCCGAGGAGAATTCCAGGCTACAATAGAGACACTCCGCAGCCCAGTGCATCAAAGGATGAATGAATGGTTTTGTAGCAAGCTACATTTACCTCAGTATATCTTTAAGCTATTAAAGCTTAATCACAGTAACGGTACGGTCCCGTAGTTACGAACCATACTCGTTAACTGTACGAACTCACCTTCTGTTGCGCTATCACAACCTAGCGTACGACATCTACACTACAGCAAGACTCCAGGAATGGAGATGGCGGCAGGTGGGCCGCATTTAAGCCACCCTGGTGAAGTGCTTCGGCCTCTTCCGGCCAGACACTTTCGTATCACTGTACTAGTGTTCGGAGTTCAAGACTCTGCTGTCACCGTTCTCATCGTATATCTTCGAGCTCCGACTTTCCGTATTGCTTCTCGCTTCTAACGCTTAGCCGTCCTTCGTGGTCGAGGCCCTCTCCTCCCACGGCCTTGCAACCCAACACTTCCGCTGAAACGCCTAAGGTAAGGGACGGCTGTTACAGGTTTCACGTACGGCGGGGGCTGGCCATTGTACGATCATACCGCGACAGCCTTAGGAGAACCAAGATTGGTGACGCCTTGGTGACGTCACAACAGTACGATTAGCAGACATATTTAACTCCCGGGTGGCTTCTTCATTCGACCCGCCTCAACAACACCCCCACGTGCCCCTGCCAAGCCTTTGAGAGCCTTATTACTTTTTCCGCTTGGTGGTAATCTTGGTGGATGCTAGTACGAGTGCCCAAAGCTTCTCCCCTTAGAGGTGCTCCAAGGCGCTCCAAGGCGCGGGAGTGTCTCAGGTTGCTTGGGGCTGTTCGGGCGGTAGCGCGGGGCTCAAGGCCTTACTAGGCACCGTACAAGGTCTTTCTTAGGGTTTCTTTCTAAACACCACTTAGGTGTGGGCCTTATCATCACACCGGTGTTCTGCTAGTCGGATCCAAGGTAAATTCAACAATACTCTTTGCCGGGCAGGCGTCTGTCCGTGCCTCAGCTTACGGTTTCCAGTAGTACATGTTTTTCCCCCAGTCCCCCCTTACAGCAATGAACCGGCAGGCAGGCAGCAGCTTTCTACACCCAACACCAATAGAGTGGGTTGGGCTGGGATAAGAGTATCAACGCACCGTGCGGGCCATACATGCCTGCAGCCGGTAACGCACATACATGCTTGCAGGGCCTTGGCTCCTCTCCAGGCTCTCCTCCTTGCCATTGAAATAGCGTGTGGGTGGGGGAAGCACCGCCGGTGAATCAGACAAACCTATTGTAACGTCATTGATTAGCAGCTTCTTGGAATATGGAAAGAAGAATGATGCAGCCTCCTGCAGCCTCTACGGGCCTGTGCATGTGCTGGTTCTGGTGTAGGTGGTTGAACCTTGAGTCGTACTTAGGGTAATGAACCACCTAATCGCCCAGCAAGGAAGCTGACACCTTCAACTTGCCAATGGGCGCCATCGGACACAACGCAGTGGGCGGCCAGCAAAGAAGTCGGGACCCAACGCGCAGAGATGGACCGTACGCATAGTTGTGAACCACGCTGGGAGAACCCCATTTTTTTAAGATCTTGATCCGTACCTCAACTGTTTTTATGTGCAGCGAAGGAGCTACAGGTCTGTGCACGTGGGTAGGTCGCTGTTTGCGTGTGAGGCAAATGGTCGTTTGATTGCGCCCGCTCTACATATATTGAACTACACCGCACGGAAAGTGTGGCGTCACAGCTTTCAGCAGCACTTTCGCTAGTCTTAAAGCTGTGCACATGCTTATGGTATGTCCCGTGTATAGGTGTAACTGGACTGAGCCGTGCTGTTGCTCGCGCAAAAATAGCTTGGTCCGCTCGGGGCGGTAGATGCGCGGAAGATTTCAACGGCGTTTACTCAACAGAGAGTTCCGGTATCTAGCGTTTTTGCTTATTGACCATGAAATTTATTGTAATTATGTTAAGCGTCGGGCATTCCGTCTGCATTGTAAATCGGTTGCGGTTTGCGATGCCGTTCCCATGTACTGTAGTCGCAACGGGTTGCGGGTGTTGCATTTTGGGGCACGCTTTCCAAAATCCAGTCCTAGTTTATACAGGATGCAATTGCTTGGGCGCCGTGTCTCGAAAATTTTTTAAGTGGCGCACAAATTTGGGCAGGAGGTCGGCAAATAAGGCGGGTCCTGCGGGTCCGTACCACAGTACCCGAGAACCGAAATTCGGCTGCGGGTCCCTAATGACCAAAATTTGACCAAAAGACGTGGTTTGCAGCCTCTATCGCGGCCCGTAGGGCCGCCCGCTGGTGTGTTTGACTTTGGATTTTTCTTAGGTTTACTGACCAAAATTATGCCCTCCCGCAGCCGTAAAAAACGATTTGCTGACCTCAGGTCCTCTGCCCTCCCCCATCTTTGCCACCTGCAGGAATCAGAGCTATCTCGGATTAAGCCCGCAAAAAAGATACAAACCTGTTAACTCTCTAACCGTTAACATTTATGCGTAACTGTTATAAAAACACGTTTGCGGCTTCTTTGCAGGCATTTTCCTTACGTTTCGGTTGTCCAACACACACAAAATTGGCATTCACACAAATCAACGGGCAAGGCAGAGGCTAAAATTACGGGTCACAGTGTTCCCATAACCCGTTGGGACTGTTGTAGAACGATTTCCCTGAAGCAATCGTCCGCCTTGGATCCAGCACATAGAAGAACGATTACGGCCGTACATCACAACCCAGCAACAAATAACGACCAAGAGGGGGGAGAGAAAGAGGGAAGGAGACGACCACCAATCACCAGCCAGTCAGCAGCGGACAGCAAACACCAATCCTCTCTCTACCTTGGACGGCTGATATTTGTATATAGCCAGGATTTTACTGCATTTGGTGGGTCACTTGCACCTCCAGTTACAAAAGAATGTTGGATGTGGGTTTACTTCGGGATCACACACTTCCGAGTCACGCACCAGAATCGGTCCATCCATCCACCCATCCTGGATACACGCTAGCCGACTGGATCACATCATTTTCCAACTAAGATAATCAATTGGATCACACGATTTCCACTTCCTCCATTGCAATCGGATCACGGCCAGCTACGGTACTACTTCCCGCCCAAGTTAGTGGCTATGCCCAGCTCTCTCCGGCTTCATGTTCCGTACAGTCAACCAGCAGTACCTGCCCATCCGGGGTTCGGGGTTCCTTGATCTCCTGCTGCCTCCCGCCTGGTGGGCTGCCTCCTCCCCCTATAGATACCTCGGTACCTCTGTACCCCGCGAGTTAAGGGGAGTAGAGCCCCGTCTAGTTTCTGTGTCATGTTCGACAGCCGCCCCACGACGACCACCCGGTAGGTATTTCCCCACAGGACGCGACCGTGACCCACAGGACGCGACCGTGACCCACAGGACGCGACCGTGACCCACAGGACGCGACCGTGACCCACAGGACGCGACCGTGACCCACAGGACGCGACCGTGACCCACAGGACGCGACCGTGACCCACAGGACGCGACCGTGACCCACAGGACGCGACCGTGACCCACAGGACGCGACCGTGACCCACAGGACGCGACCGTGACCCACAGGACGCGACCGTGACCCACACATATGTTGGCTTAAAGGTCACCCGCAGCCCGGCGGCCTGAGGGGTAATCGAACACCAATTATGCAATTATCACAGCCATCGCCTGTCCCGCGAGTCAGCTCCCATTTACCCGTCGAGCAAGCCGAAACATAACCCCTGATGGATTTGTCATTGGTGGTACGCGCTCATTACGGCAATTTACCGTAACACAGCGCGTACTGCTTTTCATTGCAGTAGCGTGCGTAGGAGCTGCCGTTGCCGTCTGGATCGACGTAAGCGCAGTAGCCGCCTTCTTTGCCGTTGACCCAGCAGCCGCGACCGCTCTCGTAGCAGAGTGGAATCGTCGCCTCTGTCGAGGGGCGGCCACAGCGTTGCGTTGCCCCATTACATTCATGATAGCGGTGTAAACAGGTTTCTTATGCGGTGTCGGCTCACATACATGTATTCTTACACACACACACACACACCACACACACACACCACACACACACACTCGGGAAAACCAAATTGATAGGCGCATGTGTGCTACGTGTGCATTTCAGCACATACATATCTACAGAAAAACACGCACGCACGAAGTCCTGGTTCCAAAATGGAAAGGCAAGTCGATGGCCGTGTAACCCCCCCGTGAACAAAAAAGAGAAACAAAATAAGGAGGAAACCCCGCAATATGATGAAAAGTGGGGCTGTCTGTGCATTCTTTGTTATGTACCGTTACCCCAGGTAGTTGATCTAAGCCAAGGAAGCAAGGAAGCCAGGCATCTCATATGCTGTTCCGTTAGCTGGCTCCTCCGTACCTTTGTGTATGAGTTTGTCTAATTTCTCGTACGGTACGAGTACGTAGCCCTTGGACAAGCAGAAGATCTCAGCCTCGTCGTAGGTGTACTTCCTTGTGGAGAAGATGTACAGCTTCTTTTTCTTCTCGATCTTGTACGCCTGGAACTCCTTGACTGTGTGTTGGGGGGTGAAGCGGGTGTATGGCCGTGTGTGTAAGAGGAGGAGAGAGAGAGAGAGAGAGAGAGAGAGAGAGAGAGAGAGAGAGAGAGAGAGAGAGAGAGAGAGAGAGAGAAAAAGGGGGGGGGACAGGGTCGTGACAGGGGAGGGGAGGGGATTACCAGGGTTTTGAAAGGGGAGGGGAGGGGATTACCAGGGTTTTGAGAGGGGAGGTTGGCAGCTCAGATGCGGTGGCGGGTGGGGAAGACGGACAGGCAGGAAGACCATGCTGCAAGTTAGGCAATAATCGCCTGCTCTCTAGGTAGGTTTTTACGGCGGAAAGGGTAGGTGGTGCTAGGGCAACAAAACCAGTAATCAACCACTACTGGAACAGCACCATCCTCAGCCTCATCGTCATCTTCCTCCTCATCGTAATATTCAAATCAGGTCCGCTGGCGTGTTGTTCAGGTTTGTCCAGATTGGGGGCTGAGAGAGCTGCACAAGGAGGCGAAGAGTGCTGCACACGGTGTGTGTGTGTGTGTGTGCGTGTGTGTGTGTGTGTTTTACCGTTCCTCATTGACTGACCGGGGGGCGGAGGTGGCGGGGATGGCGGCGGTGGGGACGGGGGCGGCTTCTTCTGCAACCAGCCATTGAAGGGGCAGCGGGGCAACGCAACACGAGGAAGTGATAACTCAGATGACTGCGACTCGATCTCGGTATTTCCTGAATATACGTCTTCTAAGCTATTTGCCAGTTCTCAACGGAAGCCGCAGCTATCTAGGAACATTGTACCATACGTGTTTGGCTTTGTGCGTACCTTGGGTGGAG